GGGCCGGGCTGCACTTGGGCGGCCGCGTGGGTGGCCGCGGCCGTGGCCGTGGCAGGCGGCTGGGCGCGGGGGTCGCAGGTGCATCTTGGGAGGGTTGGTGGCCCGAGTCGCGAGTGCCTGTGAGCGCTGGGCCTTGGGTGACAGGTCTAGGCCTGGGGGTGTGGGAGGGCCGTCTGTGGGCGCCGTGGATGGGGGTGGGCCCAGAGGGGACGGGGTGGGGGTGCACGGAGCCTTCTGGAAGCCGGCCGATCGCGGCTGCCTTGGTTGTATGGAGGCAGAGAAGGGGTGTCTGGGCGCTGATCGCCGTCGAGGTGCCAGAGCGGGGGTGGGGTGGGGGCTCCGGATGGCGGCCTCGTATCTGGGAGGGGAGGAAGGTCTGCGGTGGCCTCGCTGGGAGTCGCCCACCTGGGAGTGCGGGCCTGGGCGGTGGGGGAGGGGCGAAATGCTGCCGGCCTGGGGCTGGGGGCGATTTACGCGTTTCTGAGCAGGGCTGCCACTGAGGGTGGCCTCACGCAGGGGGCCTCCCTCCATCTCTCCCCGACCCCCCACAGACATGCTGCTGCTCAAGAAACAGACGGAAGACATCAGCAGCGTCTATGAGATCCGGGAGAAGCTCGGCTCGTGAGTGTGTGTGTGTCAATGAATGTGATGTGTGTGTGTGTGTGTGTGTGTGTGTGTGTGTGTGTGTCAGCGAATGTGTGAGTGTGTGTGTGTGGGGGGGCGGATGGGTGGCCTGGGACCAGGAGGGCCTCCCCATCTTCTTCAGCTAGGAGGGCCCTTGCCCCTCCGCACCTCTGCTTTCCCTCCCCGCCCCCTCCTTTCCTCCTCTTCCCCTCTCCCCCTCCCTGCCTGCCTCCCCCTCTCTGCCTCAGGGGCGCCTTCTCTGAGGTGGTGTTGGCCCAGGAGCGGGGCTCCTCACACCTCGTCGCCCTCAAGTGCATCCCCAAGAAGGCCCTTCGAGGCAAGGAGGCCCTGGTGGAGAACGAAATCGCCGTGCTCCGCAGGTGCGTGCTCGCCCCTGGCCAGGCCTGTGCCTTCAGTGCATCCCCACGACCGCCTGGCCCCGGGGCTCTGCCTTGCTGGACCAGGCAGAGGTGGCCTGTGCTAGGTAAGCGGGGCAGAGGCCAGAGGAAGAGAAGAGGGAGGGAGCCTTCCCTGGGGCCCCGGGACGAAGCACTCCGAGGCCCCGAGAGGCCCAGAGGGGGCTGCGGTGGCCCATACGGGCCTTTCTATTGCCATTGCAGGGTCAGCCACCCCAACATTGTGGCTCTGGAGGACGTCCACGAGAGCCCTTCCCACCTCTACCTGGCCATGGAGCTGTGAGGAGGGCAGGGGCAAGCTGGGGCGGGGGCGGAGGCGGCTGGGGCTGGCGCTGGGTGGTGAGTGGGGGCCGACTGGCCTGAATTAGCCGAGTCCCTGCTGCCCTCAGGGTGACGGGGGGCGAGCTGTTTGACCGCATCATGGAGCGTGGCTCCTACACAGAGAAGGACGCCAGCCACCTAGTGGGCCAGGTCCTGGGCGCCGTCTCCTACCTGCACAGCTTGGGCATCGTGCACCGAGACCTCAAGGTGCCCGTCCTCCTGCCTGCCCGCCTGGGGCCACGCCCGGCATCCCTGTGCACCGAGGGTCTGGGGGACTTGAGGGTGCCCAGCCCCAGGGGTCGTGCCAGGGCTGACCTGGCACTTTCCCCGGTGCCCGTGTGTCATAGCCGGAAAACCTCCTCTACGCTACACCCTTTGAGGACTCCAAGATCATGGTCTCCGACTTTGGCCTCTCCAAAATCCAGACTGGCAATGTGCTGGGCACCGCCTGTGGGACCCCAGGATATGTGGGTCAGTGAGGGGGGGCGCGCCCTTAGACTCACTGGGGCTTGAGGGGGCTGGGGGACATGGTGCCAGGGGAAGGGTAGGCGGTGGGTCATCCCTGGGGTCGACCAGGCTGAGCCTGGCGGCACTGAAGCCACGGCACGTGTGCGTGCGGGTGTGTGTCTGTCTGTCTCTGGCCCCCAGCCCCGGAGCTCTTGGAGCAGAAACCCTATGGGAAGGCTGTGGATGTGTGGGCCCTGGGTGTCATCTCCTACATCTTGTGAGTGACCGCTGGGAGGCTCCTCTTCTGCCTGCCTGCCTCCTGCTGGGTCGGGGAGGGCCCGGCAGCTGGGTGATTCATGTGTGGGTGCCAGGCTGTGTGGGTACCCCCCTTTCTACGACGAGAGCGACCCTGAACTCTTCAGCCAGATCCTGAGGGCCAGCTATGAGTTTGACTCTCCCTTTTGGGATGACATCTCAGAATCAGGTGAACGTGAAGCTGGCCCCGAGCTCAGGGAGGGGGCAGTGACAAGGGCAGCGGGGACGGGGTGGGCTGACCTTGGGTCCCCACTGCAGCCAAAGACTTCATCCGGCACCTTCTGGAGCGAGACCCGCAGAAGAGGTTCACCTGCCAGCAGGCTTTACAGCATCTTTGGTGAGTGGGGCCCCTGCCAAGCTCTCCCGGGACCAGAGGGCCCACACCCTCAGAGACTCCCCCGCCACTGACCCGTGGCCTCCCCCTAGGATCTCTGGGGACGCAGCCTTTGACAAGGACATCCTGGGCTCAGTCAGCGAGCAGATCCAGAAGAATTTTGCCCGGACTCACTGGAAGGTCAGTGTGGAGACGGGCCTGTGGACCTGGCTCGAGGCTGTCCCCGCCTCTCAGGGGACGGCCTCGGTTGCCAGTGGCCTCTGTGGCCCTCAGAGTCTTGGGGCCATTGCCGGGGCACGGCCTGATGGCCCTCTCTCCCCACAGCGAGCATTCAACGCCACTTCCTTCCTGCGTCACATCCGCAAGCTGGGGCAGAGCCCGGAGAGCGAGGAGGCCTCAGGGCGGAGGATGGCCCGCCACAGCCACCCTGGCCTCGGGTCTGGCCAGCCCCCCAAGTGGTGACGCCCAGGTGTGCGGGCGTGGGCCCTGCACCCACTGGGCGCTGGCCCCCGAGTGAACTGAGAGGAGGGCGGGCTCCGTGTGGCCCCCTCGCAGAGCAGAGGACTGGGGACCGAAGGTGGAGGTGGAGGGAAGGAGCCGGGGTTCTGACAGAAGCAGACGATAGAGGCCAGAGGGAGCAGGTGGCTGCAGGGATCACGAGGAGCCTGATGGCAAGACCCGGGGCGGGGCGGGGAGCACTGCTGCTGAGAACCGAGACTGGGATGCGCGGGGGGGGGGGGGGGGGGGGGGGGGGGG